GTTGTGGTACTGGCCTGCTGCAGAGGCGCCGAGGACGTAGCTGCGGAGTTGGAAGAGGGTGGAAAGAAGCGGAGCCTGCTGCAGATGCGGGGTCTCAGACAGCCACCCCCACACGCAGGATCTGTTTCTGGCTGAGCAGGACTCGAGTTCCGAGCCCGCTCGAGCTGATTGCAGGGGAGAACAGAATACTTTGACCCTCGTGGTAACCGCCTGAGGGCGGTTATGCCATCCCAGCTCGCCCATGACGAGAGCTGATAACATGGTCATAAATGTGCGAACCACCATAGCCTTGTTCCTCCAAGCAAGCGTGCGACCTACTGACAGGACGGATCTTGGCACAACCTTTCCACGGCACCCGACTGATTCAATATCAGGATGTGAAAAAAAAAAAAATTGAGACAAACAGGCAAAATATTAACATGCTTAAAGTTAATAGATGAATCATTCTATATATTAATATTATAATGAAAGATATATTTAACATCATATTCATCCCTTTTTATAGACATGCATATATATTGTTCTTAGCAGTCTTTGTCAGTTTTACTTTTCTCTCCCTTTTGTTGGATCCTTCCTCCTTGCACCCACGCCACCCTCCAACCCCAGCTCCCCACACTGGAGCAGTCCCTATAACAGCCAACTACACTGATTTCCATATTGCCGCTGCTCCTGCAGTCAGACACAGGTGCACACCGTCTTTGGATGTGTGTGCACACATAGATACAATACTTCATTCTTATGCGTGGATGGTAGGTAAGTAGATAGATACGATTCATCAATGATGGTTTGATTGTTCTGGGATCCTATTATATGTGCTTTCTTCATTTTGCTTTTCCCACTCAAGAATATCAGATGGAGACCCCTCTGGTTCAATCTCTGTCTCTCCTCTCTCTCTCTCCCTCGCCCCTCCCTCTTCTCTCTCCTCTTCTTTTTATCTGCTTCATAAGAGTTTACAGATGAGCCGAGCTTACTCAACAGCTCCCTAATTGACATGTGTTCAGCCTGTTTCTAGCACTTAGCTCCTGTGGATGGTACTGTGATAAGCATCTTTGTCCAAAGATCACTAAACATGGTATCTTATTTTATGAGCCATGAAGCATAGCTATATTTTTAAAAGATTTCCACATCATCATAACAGGAAAAGTCATGGAGGTCATGGACAAAGAATTAATTTTTTCTTTGATTTGTTTGAGAATTTCTTTTCATTGCTTTTTCAGGTGACTAGCAGCATGAATGTATAGAGTTCTTGAGTCACAATCTTTCTCTCTCTCTTTAGTCTTTCCTCCCTAAATATTATGGAGATAGTTTGAGGCAAGTATGATTCTTTTTCCCTTTATAAGTAATTTTCTTCTTCCTGGTGCTTGTAGGATTTACGTTCATTTTTGAAGTATAGTCGCTTGCACAGAATGTCTTGGTGAATGATTGCTTTCTAAGTATTTTTCCTAAGACATGATAAGCACTCTTGATCTAATAATTTAAGTCTTCTGTCATTTCAAGAAACTTTTTTAAAACTCTTTTAAAAATCCTTCCCAAATATAATTTTTTGTTCAAAAACATTCTTTTCTCTTTCAAGAGTACCAATTAATTTGCACGTTGGAACACATGTCTGTCATTTGTGCTTATCATAATATCTGAATTACTCTTTATCCTTTGCATCCTGTGTCACTTCTAAACTCTCTTCCATATTACAGTTCTGTTTTTGATGCCAGTTCTAATAAACTCAGTAGTCCTGAAATGTTATAATTGTTCTCTTCCAGGCATTCATCCCCTTTGTATTCATTCTTTGACCCTCTAGGTTTCAGAGCTCATGATTGTATTTCCTTGAAAGTGTAAGTATCTGTTGCCTAAAATTATCTTATTTAGCTACATTACTTTTCTTCCAGCACTCACATGAGCTGTGCTATCTGCCCCCAAAGAGTTTAAATGAATTATTCTCAACTTTCTACATTTGTATTTGAAGTGTGTGGAATTCCATTTTAATTCATCCATTGGCTTTTTAGCAATACTTTATTGCATTACCTTTTTAGTGATTGATCTAGAAATTACAATACACTTCCTTAACTTCTACAGCCTGCTTAGAGTTAATATTGTGCCACTTCATATGAAATGTAGAAACCTGGTGGTTTCTACATATAGGTTTTGGACAAATGTGACCTCTACCCTCAAGTCAGGAACTTGAGAGCTGGAAGTTTATGGTTTGTATGTTTCTCTTCTTTCCATTTACCAGCAGTCTGAGGAAGAAAGGAAAAGAAGTTCTTTATCTTGGGGCATATTTTCTAAATTCTCAAAGGAACAAGCCCTTGCCTTCCATTCCGCGTGCTTCCTCCCATCCGTGGGCACATCCACGCCGGCGTCCCTCCCCCACACTCTGCCATACGCCTGAACAGATGAAGGTTCTCGTGCTGCATATTCATGCTCTCAAACGCTGCTGGCAGGGTGTGTCTCTGTCAAACTCTTTTGTTCACTGAAAGAAAGAGCTTACGGTGCAGTGTAAGAAAGAGCTTACATCTGCCCATTAGAGCCAGGCAAGTAAACTGGTGACAACAGGCACCAACACAGAAAGAAATGTGTTGTAAAGACCGTTTTTAAAAGACCGTTGTCATTCAAAAATCAATAAGAAAATATTTTTAACTCCTCGTGAGTTTGTCATTGTGGTAACGGGTGGAAAGCACAACGTGGCATTTCCTGCTTCGGGCCGGTTCCGCCTCCCTACCGCACGCGCTGCGTGCCTCTGCAGGGCTCTGCCTGGGGCAGCGATGACCACCTGCTCTCCCAACATCACGTGAATGCGCTGCGAATCAGCTGCGAAACCAAAATGGCGCATCTGGCAAAGATGCAGATTTCATGAGTTCACAAGAAATGCCAGGGCCCTATCTGCTCACATCGCACATTCCACCCTAGATTGACGCAGACCACTCATCCAAGAGTTAAGGAAGGCTCTTGACAACATTGTTGAAAGCCTCAGATGTTTTTTGCAAAAATGAGAGGCTTTTCGGTTTGCTGGGAAGGGCTGCCCACAATAATCTATAAAGAAAGAATTTATGGATTACAGCAGATCAACACAGATTTTTTTAAATGGTCAATTAAATCACAGCTTAGTGGCACATTTATAGAGCAGAAAAAGAGTTTCCCTTCATGATGAGAAGAAACCTTAAAAGAGCAAATTTTAAAGGGTAAATACTCCCCCCTCAAAAAAAATACCCCTTTCATTCAATGACGGTCACTTGTCCCTTTCCTCTGGGAAGATCTAATTAATCCATTCAATGATCCTAGGCTGTCAAAAACAAAACCCTGGATTAACACCTTGAATTTGAAATCTGGATGTCTTGAACATCTTTAAAAGTGTGATCTCAAAAACTCAAGAAGTAAAGGGAAAGTCTTTAGATGTGGAGGAAAGAAATGCCTGAAACAGAAGGAAGAAAATACATAGCATCCCACTAAAATGCCCTGGCGCCTGTGTGCTGTGTTGCACGTGCACACCTACACGCGTGTGCTCCCGCCTCTTCCCCTCTTCCTGCTGCCCTCCCCTCACTCGGGGGAGGTAACTGTGTACCCCATCCACACTCCGGCGGCTTCTACCCCAGCCAACCTGCAAATAGTCCCAACTATACTGCTATTTGTTGACTTTATAGCCATTCTGGAATAATAGTCGGTTGGCAAGAAATTTCAAAGCAACAGGAAACCCCAAGGTTTGATGGATTTACCATCCCTCCAGTTGTGTGAAATGGCTTCCAGTAAGGAGTGCTGCTGGGATTGGCTGCCAGCTAATTTAAGGTCCGATGGAAGATGAAAATAAACAAGTATTAATCCTGAGAACTTTTTGGTGGAATTATGAAAACAGTCTGTTATAAAACACATCCAGATGTCAGCCAAAACTGAGTCAACTGAAATAATAGCTTCGAGTAAAATCAGCTAAGGTCAGCGAGTCAGGCTGGGGGTCTCCAACACGCCCGGCTCCAAGAGGCAGGGGAGGAGCGCTTGCACCGCCAGCCCCGCGCTTTGCCCGTGAAACATGCTTGTTTAAATGACCTATAAAAAGAATTTATGGATCCCATGGATCAACATACATTTTTTTCAGAGATTAATTTTTCACAGCTTAGGGGCAGGTTTGTAGAAGACCAAGACAAAAAAGAATGCCATTTGATAATGAGAAGAAACTTTAAAAGAGCAAAAATTTTGAAAATTTCCTCTTGATTTGACAATTACTAAATTTTTATATCAGCAAAAAGTTTAGTTTAATACAGACCTATACAAATTTCCTATTAATACACTAACTGAATTCTTCAAAGACACATGTGTAAGGATATTCATTGGAACATTTAATATTAAAACCTCTGAAGTAATCTACACGTCAATCTGTGAATAGTGGTTAAATAAATAATGGTATATTTTCATAGTAGAACAAATGTGAATTTTTTAATCGATTACTTTTTATTTATAATTGACAAAATGCAAATGTTGAAAAGGGTAATAGACTTGCTGTGGAGTTGTGTTTAGCATAAATTAAATATGAAAAGGCAAGTACCAGAGCATTGCATATATTATTATCCAGCCACCTTTTTATTAATCAGTCTCTCAATCAATGTTCCTCTGGCTGTCGATGCAGGGAAAGTTCTAGAAAGAAGCCAGTGTCTATGGCAGCCACCTCTCAGAGTGCAGGGGCTGAGGGCAGGGAGCTTTTTCTTTGGGGGCTGTACTTTTCTATACTGCTTGAATGTTTTACTGTGCACATGTATTGCTTTTGTATAACTTTTTTAAAAAAATAGTTAAAAAGAGTAGGAGAGGAAAGGAAAAAGAATGAGGGCCTGTTGAACAGAAAGCTCACTGATGGGGTGTGGCAATCTGGTTCCTACGAGGAAATGGGACCACTAGGAAAATACTGACAACTTCTGAAAATGACAGCTGTCCACCAGTCCCCGCGAGAGAAGCGGTTACACGGCTGCGTTGTTCTAATAACAGAACACGGTGTGCTTACACTGTGCAGCACCTGCTGAGGGTTCTGATGGCTGATGGCATCTCAACTGCCTGACGACAACTTTACTTTGAACCCTTGCCCTGCACACGGGGTGTCCCTGTGACTTGGGTTGGAGTTAAGAGGTTTTTACAAAGAACATGGAAGTACCACAAAACAGAGTCTAGCACCCAAGGGAAATCTGAACTCCACCAAGCCCTAAGTGACTCTGAGGGCAGACCAAGTTAAGAGGCTAAGAGGAAAATGTTAACGTAAAACCTTGGCGCAGATGGGACAATCTTTAGGCACTTGAAGTGTAAAGTAAGAGTAGGTAGGTTGAGATAACTAAGAAGCAGCAAAGGATTTGAAATAGTCTATTTTCATGGCTTGACTTTAAGTTCTGGCCAGGGTTTGGTTGCACGTAAAGGACCAGGAATGGGAGGTTCACCTCCCTGTGCAGGACAGCTCTCATGGCCAAGTCTTGACATATTCTGGGACATTGTTAAGGTGGGATGCCAGGTTCTAGCGCTGCAGAGAACATGAGAAAACACACCCCCTGGGCTGAGCTTGCTTGCTACAGCCCTAGGGTACACCTTTGCATGGCTATGGATGTATTAGATCATTAAATATGAAATGTCTGATTTCCAATCAAAAGTTTAGTTTATTATACCTCAAACAAGAAGCAGTACAATTAATCAAAGTATGAGCCTAAACGATCAACACAGTTTTGCCATCTTAACAGTAGTTGCTTTATGCCAGTAGCAAAGAAACCTGGAGAATGATTGGCGATGAAATCGTGAAAGGTGTTTTCCACAGCTTGGTGAGAATTGAGTATTTTTCCTTGCAAGAAGTGGTCCAAAGCCTAGAATAAGTGGTAGTCAGTTGGTGCAAAGTCAGGTGAATACGGTAGATGACAGAGAGTTGCCAAGTCCAGCCTCGGTAGTTTGAGCAGCGTTGTTTGTGAGACATATGGTCGAGTATTGTCTTGCAAGAAGATTGGACTGTCTCTGTTGACCAATCTCGGCTGCTTAATCACAAGCATCCTCATCAGTTTGTCCAATTGGTTGCAGTAGACACCCACTATAATTGATTGACAGTTTCATGAATCTATAGTGGCACTAGACCACCAAACAGACACCATTAGCTTCTTTTGATGAATATTCAGTTTTGGACTGTGTTTTGGCACTTCATCTTTATCCAACCATTGTGCCGAATGCTTGCAATTGTCAAAAATCATCCATTTTTCATCACATAACAATACAATAGAGAAATGGTTCACCTTATGTCATGACAGCAAAGAAAGGCAAACTTCAAGATGATTTCTCTTCTGATGCTCATTTAATTTATGCAGAACCCATCTATCCAGCTTCTTTATCTTGCTAATTTGTTTCAAATGGTCCAATATTGTTGAAATAGTAACACCAAACCTTGCTGCTAAGGTACACATAGGTTGAGATGGATTCACTTCCACTACAGCTTTCAGCTCATGATTATCAACCTTGGTCTCAGGTCACCCACGTGGCTTATTTTCAAGATTAAAATCACTAGCACAGAACTTCTCAAACCATCGATGTACTGTGCATTTATTAGCCACATCCTTCCCAAACACTTTGTTGATATTTCAAGCTGTCTGTGCTGCATTCATTCTATGACAGAACTCATATTCAAAAATAACACAAATTTTTCACTTATCTGTGATTTCACAAAAATGGCTCTTAGAAAACTCTGAAAGATAATCAGAAGCCAAACCATGCATTTGGAAGAATGAGGATGCACCTTCACAATAAAAATAAGAAGTATCAAAGTGAAATGTCAGAGATATCAACTGTCAAGCTTAGTACTTAAGGTAATCAGACATTTCATATGTAAGAACCTAAATACTTAGGTAGCCAGGGTGCTATGAATGAATGTGAACTGCAATGTTTCACTTAACATTTTTGTGCAAACCTGTTTCAGTGGTGAATTTTATGTGACAACTTTACTGGGCCACAGGATGCCCAGACATTTGGTCAAACCATATTCTGGGTGCATCTGTAAAGATGTTTCTCCATGAGATTAACCTCTGAGTTGGTAGACAGAGTAAAGCCCATTGCCCTCCCCAGCGTGGGTGGGCTCACCCAGTCAACTGAAGTCCTGAATAGAACAGAAAGGTAAGCGGGTAAGCGGGAACTCCTCTTGCCTGACTGTTTGAGCTGGGACATAGGTCTCCTCCTGCCTTCAGACTTGTACTGGAGCTACACCATCGGCTGCCGTGTCTCCAGTCTGCCAACTATACGACTTGGGACTTCTCAGCCTCCATAATCGTGTGAGCTAATCCCTTATAACAGATCTCTTTACACACACACACACACACACACACACACACACACACACACACACACCCCTCCTGGTTCTGTTTCTCTGGAGAATCCTGACTGATGCACCTGTCTATACATTGTACAGTTGTCTCCTTAGGATAAATTCACAGGAGAGATTGCCAAGCAAAAGATAGGTACTTTCTAAATTTTCACACATCCTGCTGAATTTCCACTCAGAAACGCTGTGTTCGTTACCTTCCCAGACAGCTCTGACTCTCGGCATCCTTTCTCTTTGCACAGGGAGCACTTCATGTGTTCAATGCTATTGGCCATGTTGTTTGGGGTTTTTTCGGTTTTTGTTTTTTTCCTTTGATGCTCTGTGCTTTTGTTCCTCATCTACTTTTATTTAGTTGGTGTGTAGGGTCAGGTTGTCCAGAAGAGATTGTGAAACAGAGGTGTGCATGCAGGAGGTTTAGTGGGCTCTCAGAGCAATGCCTAGAGGCAGGGAGGCCCGAGGCAGAGGCACAGCTGCCCAGACCCTCAGCCACCGCAGGGGCGCCCTGAAGCTGGGACACCCTGTGGAGTTCCTGGCTCTAGGACGAGGGCCCTCAGCCTTTGCAGAGGCAGCTTTCCTCAGCAGAGGGCAGTTCCTGGGCCTGTGAGTCCTCAGCACCCGCACCGCCCCAGGCTGGGAGAGGAGCATTTCCGCCCTGAAGGGGGGATGTGGGCATGGACCATGGCAACCACCACAACTGGGTGGTTGGTACTTCGCATACTGGTTGGGAAGAACTCTTTACATGACAGTGATATTCATCTTCTGTCTAACTTTCCCAATTCAGCTTCATTTTTGTCAATGGAAAAGAACTCAAACTCTGTAAAATAATTTACAAAGTTTATTCTGAGCCAAGTGTGTGCGACTATGGTGCCCAAGAAGCCTTGAGCAAGTGTTCTCAATTGTTTGGGTTATGGTTTGGTTTTATACATTTTAGGGAGACAGGAATTACACGTAAAGTCGTAAATCAATACATGGAAGGCTACATTGGTTTGGCCCTAGAAGGCGGGACATCTCGAGTGGGTCATTACAGGTTGTAGGTGGGTTTAAAGATTCTTTGGTAATTGGTTAAAGAAATGAAGCTTTGTCTAAAGGCTTAGACCTTTTTAAGATAAGGTGGTCTGTTCACGAGAGACAAGCCACCATCGCATACCTGCAGGTGTGGTTTAAGCTCTGTCTTCCATAGCCTTAGGCCTGTTAATGGGCTACAAAGGACATCTCCAAGAAGGGAGAGGGCATGACAAGGTGCGTCTGACCTCCCGTCTCATGGCCAGTGACTCAGCTTAGGGTATTTCTGAGATCCCCTTGGCCAAGGGCAGGTCCATTCAATCAGCTGAGGGCTTAAGATTTTATTTTAGTTCACATTTTTAATCTCTATTATAACAGTTTCCATTCATTATTTTTAGATATTCAATTCTGTCTAATTTTCCTTTAAGTTTTCTGACTCTAAGATCGTGGTTCAAGAAGCCTGCCCCACCCCAAGATGACAAAATTAGTCTCCTGTATTTCTTTCTAATATTTTATGCCTTCACTATTTTACATTTAATTAATCTGATAATGATCTAAATTTATTACTGTTGTAATTTTTGTTGCTAGTGTTTTGCCAAATAAGAAACAAGCTATGCTCGTTTATTGACCTGAGTGATAAACCCTTGCTACGCTGATTTATTTTAGAAATCTTCCTGCATACAGACATCTGTTTCTGGACTTGCTTCTGCTCCGTCCTTCCCATTGACCGATCTCCCCCGAGGCTAGTTCAAGGCTCTTCTGATCACTGAAACAACGTGAGACGCTTTAATAGCTACAGCAATTACCAGACGATTACCGTCTTCTTTCCCAGCATTTTGTTGGCTTTCCTCGCCGGTTTCACTTCCAGATAAACTTTAGAATCTTTTGGCTAAGCTCTGAAAAGAAATCATGTTGGGCTCTTGACTAGAGTGAGACTAAGCTTGCACAGCCATGGAAAGAGCTGACTGCATACAACACTGAGTCCGTTCCTGCTGGAGACCGTGCTACAGCTTCATGTTTTCGGCGCGATTTGTATTATGTTTTTATCAGGTTTACGCCATCTCTGTTAAGGGGGTTTGGAAATTGTATTCCTTTCTACAACAGATTCTGGAACAGTTTCAGTAAGATAATTATCTGTTCCTTAAGTTTCAGCCACATAGCCTTAAGTTTTTATTATTATTCTCTAAATAGTCTGTAATTGCAGTGCTGGTTTTCTCCGTGACTTCAGAGTTGCTTTTAAAAGTATTTTTTAACTTCTCCCAAGGTGTGTGTGCTTACCGTTTAGCCATTTATTTCTGGTTTTGTTCCGTTTGAGAAGCTTTTGAACGTTGCATGCGACCCACGTCCACAATTCTGCAGTGTTGCTGTGCCCCTCTCTAGGGTCTACATGGAGTGTGCCCGGCGTCCCGGACCTAAGCTGGCTTCTCCTCTCCGTGTCCACGCTCCCCACGCCTCCCGCGGGGGCTTTTGTGCTCAGCGTTGAAGGCGCAGCAATTGCCAGTCACTCGGGCAAGTTTCTGCAGCACCTAATCTGCTCACTGTTGCTTCTGTGCCATTTTGATTTTCAGTAAGTACGGTTTTCATTTTAAATCCATTGATTCCTTGTCACAGATTGTTCTCTTTCCAAAATTGCGCCTTATGATCCTTGAGGATCCAAATCCAGACTTTCAGGTGATTTCTCCTTTTGCTTGAGCCAGTCTGTTTCCTGGAGGAACGTCTGCTCCGACTCCACACGCGGCCAGGGGTTGGTCTGGTTTGGCTTTGCCGCTGTTGTGCCCGCTTGCCCTGCCAAGGGTCTGCTGCCCCCAGTTAGACTCTCCAGAGCTGAGACCAGGGAGTGGAGGAGTCATGTTCCAGGCACTGAGTTTTCCTGGTGAGCTTCCCGGAGTGTGGGGAGGCGGGGATGGATTTAGAACTGGGAGCGAGGTGGCAGGTCCGGTGCAGAGCTAGGGTTTATTTCCTGTCTCTCGGGCAGAGTCTCATCACTCGCTGACCAGCCTGCCCAGCCCTGCCCTGCGTGTGCTTCCCGAGGGCGTCTGCCACCAAGGCCAAGGGGGCGGCTGCGGGGAACGTCCTCAGCTGCCACTGGGGCTTGTGTTTGCCTCCACCCTCCCCAGAACCCATGCGTTTTCTCTGTGGGGTTTTTCTCCCATTTCATGGGATTCAAGTCTTCTTGCCTCTTTTTCGAGGACACCAAACAGATGTTCTGCAAAGCATTCTTCCCTTCCCTGCAGACAGTGATTTTAGAGCTCTGCTCTTTCTCTGAGTCCTCCAGATAACATGTTGTTTCCCTCGAGCTGCAGAGCTATTCCTGGAAACTTCTTCTGAATGTTTGCTCATGTTTGAAAACGGACAAAAGGGTACCCAAGCCCGGCAGCTGGCAGATACAGAATGTGAGTTGTCTTGGGCTGCCACCCCCTCCCTGCCCTTGGGGAGGTCAACTACCCCCCTCCGAGGACTGTTTGGAAAGCTGAGAAATGAAGCTCTTAGCCCAATTTTCTCTTCACAGCAGTCACTACTCAGCTGGAGCTGGATCTCAGACCTTAATACGGCAATGATGCCCTCCACAGACCAGCAATTTCTGTGATTAGAGGGTCAGATGTGGTCCAAAGACCTTTGTAGGGTTCTGTGGTGAGTAAAATCTACCCACTGCATCATGTACCTCTCCCCCGGCCATGGTCCCCAAAACCACACGTGTTGAAACTTAACGTGATGGTATTAGGAGGTGGGGCCTTTGGGCAGTGATGAGTCATATGGGAGGTGCCCTCACGAATGGGGTTAGTGTCCTTGTAAAAGAGGCCCCAGGGAGCTGCCACGACCCTTCCACCAAGTGAGGGCACAGCGAGACGGTGCCACCTATGGCCCAGGACTCAGACATGTGCAGAGTCATGATGTCGCACTTCCAGCCTCCAGAACTGTGAGAAATACATTTCTGTTGTTTATAAGCTGCCCAGTCTGTGGTATTCTGCTATAGCAGCCTGAACGGACTAACGCATACATCTTTTCTCTTGATTTCTCTTTTTCAAAATAAAAATAATAACCATGCTGTCATGGTGGAGGGCCTACCATATGCAAAGCACCACATGGGAACTCTGGACGTATTATTCCATCTAACCTTCAGGGCAGCTCTGTAGAGACGAGTGCTACTGTGACGTACAGATGGGAAACTGAGCTTAGAAGATGACATAGTTTGGATATTTGTCCCCTCCAAACCTCATGTTGAAATTTGGTCCCCAGTGCTGGAGGTGGGGCTGGTGGGAGGTGTTCGGGTCATGGGCTAGGGCCATCGTGAGAGCCTGGTGCCCTCTCTGCAGCAGTGCGTGAGCTCTCTCTGTGGGTTCCTGTTGGACGGACTGTTAAAAAGAGCCTGGCACCTCCCTCCTCTCTCTCTCTCTCTCTCTCTCTCTCTCTCTTCCTTCCTCTTGCCCCGTGATGCCAGCTCCCTTCCCCTCCCCCATGAGTGGAAGCCCCTGAGGCCCTCACCAGAAGCAGGTGCTGGTGCCATGCTCTTGTACAGCCTGCAGGACCAAGAGCCGAAGAAAACTCTTTTCTTTATAAATTACTGGGCCTCAGACACTCCTTTATAGCAAGGCAAAGTGAACTCAGATGGAGGGGTTTTGTTACTTAGCAGAGATCACACAGCTTGTAACTGGTACCTACGGACTTCGCTCCTGCTTGTCACTCACCATCCTTTTGAAGGGGCTCCGCGATCTGGGAGTCAGCGTGCCCCTCACGCTGCCCCTGCCCCACATGGTATAGACTGGGCATTGCTGTCTCAGGATGCATTAACAAAGGCAGGACTGTGGGAGGCAGAGCAGGCAGGCCTGGGTGACAGCACAGCTCCTTCTGCTCCTACTGTACAGCCATGATGTTTGGGGCTGGCTCTTCTCAGTCTCTTAGCTATTCTCCTCCTTCTAGCTCCCTGCCTAACCCACAGCCATCACTGGCACCAGCAGTGACCAGCATGCCTGCTGCAGTGACTCACTGCCTCACACTCGGGAACATAGCAGAGGGAAAACAGATCTCATCTCAGAGGTCTTGAGTGGAGAACGGAGACCTGTTCCTGCCTGACCCCAAATGCTATGCTTGTTTGCGGTTATTGGCCATTTGTAAGGGAAGCTCCACTGGTACCTGTTCTAGGAGGGAGGCAGGAAGTCAGGAAGTGTGTCCTGGAAACCACAAGAAGAGGTAGGGTGCTGACAGTCAATGCTGGCCATCGGCCCTCGGTTGTTATGCCTCTTAGCAGAGCCACAAATGCTTTGGGGAGCCCTGGTGCAGCCCTGCCCCTGGGCCTGCCTAGAGATAAGGAGAACCGGACTCAATGGCAAGGACATGTGATAGCTCAATATTTAAAAAGGACTTAACCAGCTTGTGTGAGAAAGCTCAACTGCCTCCCAGAGTCCAAGCAGCTAGGAATTGCCCTCGGTAGGGCTTCATTCTCATAAACCCGCATGTATCAAAGATGCAACATCTGCCTCTCTCGGGAGAGGCCCTTCCCTACAGGCATCTGGCCACACACAGGAAATCCTGGCCACTCTGAGACGGAATCCATGAACGTGCTCGGCCGAGGGACGCGTGTGCTGGCTGGCGTCAGCGGTCGGCAGTCGTGCGGGAGCTGTGGCGTGGCTGAGAATGGGGCGGCCGTGTGTGGCAGAAGGTCGTTTCTTCAAGCGACCTCAGCTGCTCTGATCGAGACTTTGGGGTGGGCACTCCCCTCCAACATGAGACCCTAACTCAGCCACATATACAACCTCCCTCTGGGTTTCTCAGAAATGGCAGAGGCCAGAGAGCAGGGGCCACTTGACCTCCCAGGTGCTCACACTCCCAGGGTTAAGCTCCAGGCACCCCTCAGTACGACCAGAAAGGCCCTGCACATTCTTACCTGTCTCAGATCTGGATGAGTTGCTTCCTTTTATTTTGCTAGACCTGTTTTTTCTCTTGATGTGAAGTGGGTTACTGTTTGTTTAGCTCCTTTGGGGAAAGAAGCAGGAAGTAACAAGAAAGTCAGATGACCTCATGGACACAGCACAGTCGCCTCAGGAGTGTGGTCCCCGGGAGCCCCATCGTGCCCCTCCCCTCCCTTGCTGCTGGCGGGTGTCCTGTCCTCGGCTTGCTTGTTTGCTCTTTGCAGCTGCAGCCCTCTCACTCCCTCAGGCGCTCCCGCGGGTCTGGGTGCTCCTGGCAGAGAAGACCACCGTGGTGTATCCCCATCTCCTGCCTTGGTGCCTGCCCTCCACTTGAGGATAAGAGTCTAGGATCAGGGAAAACAGAAGTGTCTACTTGTCCTTGAAGAACTGTTAATAAATACACAAACTGTCCATTGAGCCCCTGAAAAGCGGACCATGGTCAGCACAAGCTAAGTTGTGCTATATCGTCAAAAACAACCCCCAAATATCAGTGGCTTAAAATAAGGGAAATTTATATTTTGTTCATGATATGTGTCCATTTCAGGTCATAAAAGGAGCTCTGCTCCTCACAGAACCCAGCCTGATGGGCCGCCACTACTTCAGAGATTTTGGTCACTGTGCCCAAATGCAAGAGACTGTAGATAGTCTCAGGCTGGCAATTAAAAGCTCTGGCCTGCAGCCAAAGTGGCACTTCCACTCCCAACTCATCCCCCTGCCCCCAGATGGGCAATCCTACCACATGCCCAGAGGGAGGGAAAAGAAGGAACTGTAGCAAAGGACATTAATTGTTGCTGCACCTGCCTCCTGTGGTCATTAGCATCTGCCCGGCCAGCAAGGGCCCGGGCATACTCCTGGGCTGCTGCACCAAAGGAGAAGGTTATGATGCTCCAGAGAAGCCACAGTCCTTCCAGATGATCTGGTAGGAGACAACCCTCTTGCACTTAGAGAAGGATTTCTAACAGACACTTTGTGGTTTTTAACTTTTCTTTCCAGTTTTTTCCTGCAATTTGCAGGCTAACTTTTCTACCTTGAGTTAGACTCACCATCAAGAATTAACTATAAGGTCTGACACTAATTTTTCAGGTGAAAAAAAATTAGTGTCAATTATATCTTGATGACATCATTAACAAATTATGGGCTGAACTAAGTTGATTATTTCCTCCCTTGGTGAGGTCAGCTACCTGTACGGGCAGGTTGTACTGGCTTGCAGGCAATAGACAAATAACTTCAGAATTCTCCAACTTCTTTTCTTTTCAATTAGATGACAAAGCCAGACTATATATCTCAGTGATCTCTTTTGTTCTGAAATTTGTAAGTGTGAATTATTAAGGAAAAATAATTTCCACTGCCACTATTGCTAAAAATAATCCCATCTTAAGCAGACAGAAATCTTATTCTCCCTGGGCCCTCAGCACTGGAGTTCTTCGTGTTAAGCCCTTGGGTAAGTTCTTTTCTCACGTGGTGCCCTTCCCCTGGGCAGACTCCTCCCACCCTGTGCCTGTGCACAACCTCCAGCCCATGCCTCTGAGCTCCCGATACACATACAGGATACGGATACCTTCACGCTGTCTCCATTTGGATTTCTCATAGACATCTCAAATTAAGATGTCCCAAGTTGGCAGTCTCCACCACCCCAATCTGGTCCTCTTTCAAGGTCATCCATCTCAGTAAGCCAGTTCCTTGGCTCAAGTCAATGAGTTAATTTGGCATCTCCTTCTCTCTTATCCAGTCAATCCTTCCATCCATTCTGATCTAGTCTTCCTCTAAGAGGGCTCGACCCATTCCATCCTCTCCACCCCCAGCCACCATCCTAGGCAGAGCTATTGTCATCAATTTCCTGGACTCCTACAGTCGTCCTCTTGTGGTGTTTGTGCCTCTGTTCCCATCCCTCCCTAATCCTGGACACAGAAGTCAGAAAGACATTTTAAAGACTGCATTGGATCCCACCACTACATAATCTCTTCAATGGCATCCTCTTTATTCTAGGATAGAACCCAAAGTTCCACCAGACTATTGTCACCTGCGCCTTGCACACACCTCTAGTCGTGCCCCTCCCTGCCCATCCTCCTTGCCTGTGACCAGACTCCCTGTCCTTTCCCTGCTCAAAATGCAATCCTTTCTCTTGCCTCGGCACTTCTCCCATCCTGCTCACTCAGGCGAGGCTCAGTCTTCTGCATCTTTGCCTGGGCTGTGCCTCCTCCCCTTCAGGTACCCACCCAATGGCCATTCCTCTTGGAGGCTTTTGCTGGCCATTCACCATGGTCTGGGTCCAGTTTAGATTGCTCCTTTCATTTTCCCACATAGTTTATCACACCTTTAATTATACATTTTTCCATGATTAGTCATGTACTTCCCTACTACGTCATAAGCTCCACAAGAGCAGGGACCATCCTGTCATGTTCATCACTCTGTCCAACCCTCTTTCTCCAAAACTAGCACAGTCTTTGGCAAGTAATAAGCATCAGTAATATCTGTATACTAAGTGAATAATTCTACTTACCTAGCCCCCGGAATATTATAACAAAGATAAGTTCTAAGCCCATTCAACTTGTTACCAAAAAAATGCAAAATAACACATGCACAAAGCTGTTTATTACACTATTTGTAACGGAAAAAGACTGAAATAACCCCATTGCCCACCAACGCAGAACAATGTAAATAAACTATGATACATCCACACAGACTGTGCCACTGTTAAAAAGAGTAAGAAAGATCTTTATGTATGGGTACATTAAAAAATAAAAGGCAATGTTCTGAAAAGTGAGTATGCTATGATACCTTTGTCCAGACAGAAGGCAGCATAAATATGTGCATGCCTGTTTTCTTTTACTTAAAAAATGAAATGAAGAAAACAAAACCTAATTTTAGAAAAATGGTTACCTGTGAAAGAAAGAGAAAATAAGAGACAAGAGACAGGAACAGAAGCTAGACATCTCTGAATGCACTTGCTTTATAGTTTAGAATTTGGAATCTTGTAGCCATGTTACATAGTTAAATAAATATTAAAATAAAATTTAATCAAACTGAAAAAAAAGTCTTAGAAATCAAAACAAAATAAATGAACCTAACTATATATCAGGTTGCTGTTTAATATAGAGAATGATTTTAAATAAATTTAAAACACAGAAATGGAACTGTTATCCCTGCAGGAATATATCTTAAGGACAAAAAGATTACAAAGAAATTTTAAATAGTATTCAATAGTCTTCTTTTATTAATATTAATTGATGCTATTGATATTGTTATTTTGAAACCATACACACAGGTACACACATCCACACACATACCACGGTGTTATTAAGAATCAAGAACTTTTAGTGTAAGAATGAAGAAAATTAACATAAAATCAAAGACATTAAATAAAATTCCAGTAATCTTAAATTTGAATTAGAAATACAAATATGGACTCATAATGTATTTTTCTTTTTCAAACAAAAAGAAATGTGTATTTCCAAGCTTAGCAGAAATATATATTTCCTTGATTTCCAAGAAAAATCCCAAGAAGAAGTGAAAACCAAGTAGTAATGATCACTCGTAACATTCAAACTATAGTTTCTATACATTTTTCCTAGGACTCCACTGGGGAAAAAATAAAAAGTTTGATTCTCAGTCTCATCAGAAATTGTATGAGATGATTCTAGAATATTTTCATGCCAGAAAACAAAGAAGCTAACCCAGACTATCAGGGAAATGTCTAAAAAAATTGAGGTCAATTTGAAAGGATTTTCACTGGCCAAAGTTGGAACAATGTCCTCAAAAAGAACAATGATTCCAATGAGTAAATTTAACTTAAAAAAAAAAAAGTTAAAATTCAAGAGTTCATAATGATAGCAAAAAAGACTGCTTCAGTCACATTGGATATTGCCAGAATATCAAATCATTATTCTGGAAACTGATAAATAAATGGAAATAATAAAGCATCTATCTGGACTTTCTTATATAAACTATTTTCAGGGGAAATCAATCAGTTAATGACCAAAAATTTTTATTTACAGAATAATTCCAGCTAATAAAAGAATTGCCATGTTAGAATATGGCCACTTTGCAACCCTAATAAAATAATGAATCTGGAAACGACCATGAATAGCTGCCAGATCCATCAGGTGGAAGGTTGATGAGAAATTTCTTGATGAATGGATGAGGCTGGCATCACCTGAACCCACTGATGGATAACACATCCCAAAGAGACACACCGTTCCCCTGGTGAGATGCAGTGGGAAGAACACAGCAACAAGTGGGGAATGCGCTTGCAAAAAAATACAAATCTGATCAAGCCTCCAGATCTAATTGTCAGCTAACATGGAGCAAGACAGAGGAACACCACCACAGAATGTAATCAGGCAAATCTACAAAGTGAAAAATTCTGCAGAACAAATGACGCAGTTTCTTCTAAAAATAAATAACAAGCAAAAAGAAGGAGGGAGAAAGGGAGACTTGTTGAGATAGATAGATAGATACCAAATGTAAGGTGTACACTTGTTCATTTCCTTTTTTAATCAAGTGAAAATAATCAGGAAAATTTAAACATATTAAATATTAAATGATATGTAGAAATTATTTTTCATATTTCTAGTATGAAAATGGTTATGTTCATTAAATTATCCCCTTTCTCTTAGATACATATAGTTAAGCATTTATGAATGAAGTGATATAATATTTGGATTTTCTTTTAAATAATTCAGTGGGAGGGGGAGGAGAATTAAAGCAGGGATAGAGGATGAGGTGTTAAGTGAAACAAGAAAAAAACTGTAGCCAAATGCTTACATCTACTCTATACAGATACAAATAAATTAGTCTTTATTCTATCAGAGAATAAGAATCACATAGTTTTGTGACAATAATTTTAATTTTAAACTTAAGACTATTTAAAGTATTTCCTAAATATTGTTCATGTGCCCCTCATCCCAAGCACAATGGATTGTCAAAACCAAAAGCCCCTGCCCTCTAACCCTAGTCTGTTCTTGGGCAAATAACTCAACTATAGCTGATATCACCATGCCTCTTCCACCGCCCCCATTGCAAGCTGCAGTTCGCATGGGCTGCCCTTGTAAGGACAGAGACCCAATCCCCTGACCTGCCAGCTCCAGGCTGTAGGGTCTCCTCTACTTCCAGGCTAGTCCTGAGAGCTCAAAGCAAGGTTTTCTGCTCTGCTTATTGTCTTGACATCTTATGGCCTATACTTATGGACTTAGATTGGAGTTTTGATGCAGATACCTTTTCCTCCCGTTACAACTCTTAGCCATATCCTTTTCCTGAAAGACTTCTGCCTTCATGAACTGGTTGAGATAGTCTCTGCCTTCTGGGCACATGGGACAACATGAACATCCCTCTGACTTCTAACAACAAACATGATGTTGCCCATTGCCCATAAACCTTAGCCAACCTGAAATCACTGTAACCAGATAGAATGGGCTTCCAAAGATGAGAGACAAGCAAACAGGCCAAAGACACCTCACCTATTCAGCACCAAGTCCCTCTGAATGCAGCAGACAATCCATGTTGAAGACGCTATTGGCCAGTGGCTGTCCTGTCCATGGTGACCTGTCACCCTGCTGAGGGACACACAATGGGGTAATAAAGCAGGCCTGACCTTTGGGACCAGACAGATGTTGCTTTGGAATCAAAGTCAGCCTCTTACTATATATTTTAATTTAGGCAATAACTTTTGCTTTCTGGGCCTCAAGTTCCTCTGCTGCGCAATGAACTCAACTCAGTGATTGCTATGAAACACTGTATGCAAGACCTGAGCACTAAGCCTGTATGTGGGAGTCCTGGTGAGGAGGGGTTCTTCCTGAATTCCAAAAGCATTACTTTGGCAGCCAAAGTGGATTTTTCTGGAACATCATGTCCATGCTCAAAGCAAACAGTTTATTCGTCTTCTCATCTTGTTCCAGAAGTCTTCATTTATCTTTTGGGGTTTCCGGCCTGGCTTTCCAGCCCTGGAAGCCTTTGGCCCTGGCCCTGGCCCGGCCCCCTTCCGAGTTTAGGGCTCTTGGATTCAGCAGATCACTTGGCAACTGTCGTCTAAGGTCACTTATCTTGATAAGGCACTGTGGGAGGGAAAGCTTGGTGAGAAAAATTGCATCTGCCATGCTGGCGCAGAGTGAGGGAGGACAGTTAGAAGGTTCTTCAATTCTCTACTCATCTGAAAATGATGAACAATTTCCTGCCAAGGCTGAGCAACTTGCTAATTAATGATCCGGAAATGGCACCCACTGTCCACTGCCCAGCTCGTTTGTCTTTCCCATGCGGACACAGTAAGGGCTATAAATGAAGTCTAGTGCTCTCGCTCATTCCTGCAGTTTCTCCTTTGCCGCTATGTTAAGGCCTGGTCACTTGGAGTCGGTGCCAATGGTGAAGGGTAAGAGTGCTTCCCAGGCGTTCCCAGAGACATCTTGGGCAGAGGAGGGAGAAGAGCTAACATAAGTTGACAGCCGATCATGGACCAGGAAGGAATGTGCGCAGCCTTATTTCATTAAATCCTCAGACCAACCCTAGGAGAGAGATGAGGTGGGCAGGATTACCACCATTTGGAGATGAATAAACCAATGTTCAGAGAAAGTAAGTAATGCATTCAAAGCTGCATAACTAGTAAATATTGCACCTGAGATTTCAACACAATCGATATGATTACAAAACTTTTATTTGTAACCACTGGACTACATACTTCTAAACAAAGCCAATCTCTGTAGACTCTAAACAATACAATTGGAGATACATACTTATATGAACAATTATAGGCATAATACAAAATTCAGGATTTCATGAAAGGAAGGGATGAAGTCTGGGAAAAATACAAAGATAGCTTCTCAAATTGTGTAGTAAGTTTATGGATGTTCATTTTATATTAGACTTCACAACTCATATATATATATATATCAAATAGTATTTCAAAAAAAAGATCTAATGCCTTTTTCAAAACCTAAACAGATACCCTCATGGGCAAACAATTTTCAACAAAAATAAGGTAAGGATAAATCCATTCATCAGAATTATTGTGCAGCATTAGTAAGTGCTATTAGAGACTAAAAATAAAAATAAATATAAAATAAACTTCCTGTCTGCATGATATAATATGATAAGGAGCCAACGCTAATATGTGTGAAAAATATTCATCACTTTATAGGCTTTATAGAGGTCTTCTGGCCTAGCTCTATTTTAGAAGGATTTTTCTCTAGATTAGGGAAAAAATCCTCTGTGAGAGGATGCTCAAAAAAAAGACTAGAATTCCAGCCCCGCTTCTGGTGCTGCACCTCACAGGCCTAAGGCCAGGGGCATGCCTCTGGCAGGGCTGCCAGAGCTCCTAGGGTGCTCCCCTCTTGTCATTCTGGCATCAGTTGCCATGGGACTCAAGGTGACCATGGGCTGGGGTGGAGCCTGTGTCCCTCTCTGCTTTTTAAATCCTTTTGCAAAGGAGAGGAAAGCCCCTCCTCAGGATAAACCATTTCCAAATGTAAATGAAAATCAGTACCATTCATCAGCATATGGGCCATTCACTATTGAAAATACAAATCTGGCATAACGGCCCATCTTAGGTCCCCTGCTGGCAGGGCAAGTCCTTGAAGGCACGTACTTCCCACCAGGTCCAGCCTGGATCCTCACGGGCAGTACAGGTGCAAACACATGTAAAATTGATGCAGCAAAGTTTGCCGTTAGCATCTCTGCATCCTCTGTCTGGGAGTACTTCAGTGCCCGCTCTTCTGGGCCTGCGCCCACAGACCACACCCACCCTCAGGATTTCTACCAGGCTCTCCCTGTCCTCTGTCACCACCAATGTGTCTCACACCAGGTCATTATTTCTTCCTCTAAATGTAACAAGCATTATGTCAGAAGTTAGGTAGGAGAGTGTTCATGGCTAATAAGCAATTAATGGTAATAGATGTGCAAGACTCCAGGCAGTTTCCACACTGGGCACAACTCCATAGGATGCTCTTCCCATTGTAGGCAAAAAGGGCCCCTGAGTATTAAGTGACCCAGTTAGGGTCGCACAAGTAGTTTGGGCTAGACCCAGAACATGGGTCTTATTCCCAGTCCAGCCCTCCTTTCTCACCACCTGAGCATAAAGCAGCCCTATTCCTAAATATAATTCTCTTTCAAACACCAACTGCATACAACTGAAAACAGCCAGAGAAACCCTGTTATGCCAGCATTCCCGTCGGCCCACTCAGAGTGGGAAGTAGAAGGCGTGTCCTCCCCGGCAAAAGTAGGAATGTTTTGTTCTTGAGTTTCCCCCTCTATGTTCCCTCATGCAAAACTGCACCTGGCACTGCGTTGCGGATAACAGGGGTCGCGCTTGGCCTTCCCTGCCCCGGCTGCAGAAGGGAGACGCCCTGCTGCCCCGGCCCAGGGAAACGCCCTGCCTGCCTCAGGAGTGGAAGCGCTGCTGTCAGCAGTCTGCTACAAAGGCTGGGCGTCGTCGTTACAGAAGGACTTCAAGGGTTCCGTGACAAAATGATAGTGTCGCAGAATATTTTAAAGCTCATGGAAACATCGGAGAGCCGGTGGGAAGAGAAGGGCGCTGGGCCACAGCGCTGGCCCCCCAGCCCGCTGGCTCCGGGACAACGGGAGGCTCTCCTGTCGCCTCCCCCAGCCCCAGCCGGGCGCGGCCCGCCCGCCTTGTCTTCTCCTCCCCTTGCTCCCTTCGCCCCTGCGGAGCTGGACTCTGCGGGTCAGTCAGGCCGCCAGCACCTGGGGCTCCGGGATCGGCACGGAACGCCACCTCAGCGCCGCCGCCGGCCTCGGCCGGACAGGACAGACCTGGACACCGCGCGCACGCCCAGTGGCTGTGTGACTCCTGGAAGTGACGGCTTAGTGGCAAACACGAAGGCCAAGGTGGGTTTTCTTGTCTGGCGCACACGGCCTACTCAGTTATCTAACAGGCGCAGAGAAGAGGGGTGGCGCGCGACGCGTCTTGGTGTTTCTCTGAGGGGCCTGCTGCGCTCCTTGCGGAAGCCTGGTGTGAGGCGAGGGCAGGGCCGAGCCCTAAGTTGTGCTTTTCAGGAGTGCACTGCAGCCGGAAGTGAGCCTCATCAGGTTCACCTTTTTTAAGGTGAGTTCTTCCATGAGAGCACACGCACGGTCGCCAGCCTGGCACCTTAAAAGTTTGCTCTTGGAGTCCTTTGTGAGGTCTCACCCCACGGTACAACTTCCTGCTTCCCGATATATATTTCCATCATGTAATCAACTGAAGACCAAAAAAAATACAGAGATGTGAATTGTGAATTGTTACATTTACCAAATGCTAGGCCATCTGGATAGTTTCTCAAGTGACACCTGAGGCTCACTCAGAGTTTAAGTAGTGCCAGAAGATCTTGATCTATTATTTTTAAATCAAGTAATTCTGAGTTTTTTTAAATAAGTGAGAAAGAAAAAAAAAATTCTTGGATAGTCATTTTGTAGCAGCACCACTGCCAAGCCATTCAGTAATGACAACTTCCCAGAGCTGTTATCTGCCCAAAATTACTCTTATCTGCCCAAAATTACTCTTATCTGCCCAAAATTAAGAGAAGTTTTATTTCAGCTGATTGGAGAAGTTCACAAAGAAGCAGCAATACCCTAAACTCTGGCATAAAAAACTAGAAGTTGGTCCTTCTCCATTTCTTCTGTTAGCCAAAATTCTCTTCACTTTTAATTTTACAAAGGCTACGGACCACTGTACAGATCTCAAATTAATCCCATTTATGAATGGAATGGAAAAAGCATCAGCCACATGGTGGAGAAAGTCACAGCTGTCCCTAAATGCTGTTCAAGCACACATGAAGCTCCTAGGCTCCTACACTTTGTGCCAAACTCCTGGGGGCCTCAGAGAAGAATAAGAACAATGTCTTCCTTCTAAGAGCTGGCAGACAAGTGAGGAAGTAAACTTAAGATACAAGGCAGATGAGAATGTAGACAGAAAGTCATGAACATCTATAGACGATGACTGGTGAGATCTGGAAAAGATCTGAGCTGGGCTGCCCAGCACTGAGACAGTGGATTTGAGGAAAATATTTGCAGAGAAGTAAAATATGCAGGAAATATTGAAAGAATAACCCAGCGTCATGGAAATGTGGAGTATAGAAATATTGAAATGTCCACGTCCAAGGAAGAAATGTTTTCCAACCAGCATCCCTGTCACCCATTCCCAGGTCTGGGGCATCTGAAGAGAGCACCAAAGGTACCACAGCCATGATCTTTCTAGGTTCCTCTTACTTCATTTTTGATACAAAAGTATATACCAGCCTCATCTGACCATTTAAAAAGCAACTTTCAAGCCCTCAGTGGTAGCTCAGTGGAGATACTGCAAGATAGAGTGCTTTTTCCTGAAGTCAGAACAAGTTATCAAAGAAGTTTGGAGCTAAGTCCTGAATTGCAGAGTAAAAGTATGGCGATCCAGACAGAGTTGCCTAAATGAAGACACTGGCCAGGGTCCCTCAAGATCCTACCTGGGTATTTCAGAAAGGTTGCAGGATTGCTGTGGGGCTCTTATACTTGGAACAGCTTCTCCTAAGACTCATCTTCTTGTGAGGCAAGCATGATGAAAAGGTTACTGTAATTCATTTTTTTTTTCAGTAAAGCAAACAAATTAAGGTAAGTTCTATTTAAGTCACAATAAAACAGAATTGCTGAAACAGAAATGCATGTAGACGTATTTGGTATTTGAGTAAGCAATTTGCCAAATGATGAGTTTAATTTTATGTCCCAACCAGAGTTTTTCTTTTCTTTTCAAGGAGCAGGCTGTCTCTAGTGAATTTCCAAAAGGCTTATCTAAGAGACTTATCTAAGTCTCTTATAGTATCACGTTAATGTTGTATTCTCTACTTTTTTAAGGTTCTTTGAAGGTACGGCTGTCAATACATGTATTGTTAAACAAGCTACATGTTTAAAAATAATTTATATCAAAAACCAGAATGCCTTAATTGGAGGAGAAATATATACTACTGCTATATTTACAACTTTATGATTTATATTTGTTTGAATAACTAACTTTAATGTCTTAAATTATTAATATTAGGTTAGATTGATTCGTTTTACAAGATCAAAACATAAAATTCATCATTCCCCAAAATGGATCTTATATGTAGATAATATTTCATTTTCCCTCAGTTTTATTGTAGAAAAATTGTTCTAAATTCATCATATAAAATTATATGCTATTTAACTACCTGAAAGATGAGAGTAATGTGATTTTTATAAATATTCCTCAAATGCTACGTGTTGTAATACTTATGAATATATCATTATTTATGATATATAGTAATAAAAATATTTTATTTGCATAATTTAGATTGTGTTTCTCTGCAAATAATAGAAGACCCATCAGAGCTGGCTTATTTGTCTGTGGCAATGTGGGGAAGCAGTCCTCCGCTGGTCAAGAGGCCCAGCGCTGTCACAAGGATTCAGGCCCCATGTGTGAGGCTTCTGTGCCATGGTTACATGATGGCTGATGCACCCACACACGTGTCCACATTTTGAGGTGGAGAAAAGAAGATGGATGGCAGGGAAGAACAGAAGGCCGAAGGTACAAGCCAACCTTATCTGACCAACAAAAAAATTTTTTTGCTTTAAGCCCTACTTAATGACTTCTGTTTCTATCCAAACAGCCAGAATTGTGTTGTATGTCCAGCCATAGCTATTAGGGTGTCCGTAAAGTTAGATACTTTTCCAGTAGGCACTGATGTACCAGGATTCTATTAGTAAGCAAGTGGAGGAGAATGGACGTTCACAGCAATTAGCTGTTTCTGCCACAACGTCATGATTTTATTGACTTTTATTGCTTGTGGTAGAACCTTAAACTGCATGGCATGAGTTGCTGTCTTCCTGGATTTCTTCTAATTTACATGCACAGGAAGGAGACTTCCACACTCGCTGGATGTCAGGGATAACAAAGGCCTACCTGTAGCTAATGAGGAGTGAGCAGAAGCGACGTGTGTGGCTCCCAAGCCAAAGGATTTAGCTGCAGCATTTAACTCACAGCCCTGCCTTCCCTGCTGCAGCCATCGTGGGAGTGGCAAGATGGAGTCTTAGAGGGAGAACTATGAGCTGAGCTCTCTGCCAGCCCACCCTGGATGTACATTTGAGCAAGAAGTCAACCTTTGTTCTACCTAGCCTGTCCTTACTGGTACAAATTGGTAGAAATTTGTCCAGTATCCTCAATTAACTGCATGTTTGTTTGTTTAATAAATAAGTGATGACACATGAAAATGTAGTATACATGTAATAGTCTACTAGCATTTCTTTAAATATAAAGGGTTAAAAAGTTAAATGATCTACCCTTTTGTAACAGTTTACGTCCTAGGCCAGTAGTGTTTGGGTGCAGAGGTTATACATACCAAATGAGAAGAAGCACATAAGCTTCAAGGAGTGAAACTCACCTTCTGCAGAGGATATGGGAGGAAATGACCCCTGTTAAGGAGGGTCCCTGTCAATGGGGATACTTATCAAAAATGGAGAGGCAGGCCCCTCCTCCATCCTAATAAGCCTCAATAAAATGCCCTTTTTTTACTGTTTATTTTGAAATAATTTCAGACTTACAAAAATGTTGTAACAATAGTACAAAGAATTCCCCCTCAACTTCTCTCAAGCCATAGTCCCCCGCTTTTCCTCCTGGTGATATGGAAACTTCTCTGCATTTTTGGAAAGCTCATCCTTCGTTATTTAAACTGGGATGTTAGAGCTTCCTGAGGCTGCCCAGGGCAGCCCACTCCATCTGTAGTCTCTCCTCAGAGGAACCCTGTGCAGCCTGGGCTTCCGTTTCCACACAGCATGGCAGGGCGATGTGAGCTAGACCTCTGCCCTCATTTCCACATTTGGTCTGTATGTTCTCTTTGCTATATCTAGTAATATTCAATTGTATGTTTGATATTGGCTCTTATATGTCTGAAATATGTCAGAATAAAGTCCCAAACGGAGCTGGGACTTTCCCCATTTTCCCCACCGTACCCACACATGGTCTTCCTGCCTTCTGGTGTTTTCTATTTCACTGAATTTTACCACTGTCCATAAAGGGATGTGAGCCAGAAATCTTGTAGTCCTGTCTAACACTGTCCAGCTCACCTTTCACACTCCATGCCCGATGGGCCTTTCCTCAGGAAGCCTTCCCTGACCCCCAACAGACAGATCTAGAGCTGTCTATCTCACCTTCACTACGTTTATCACAGTTGTGATTCTATAATTATTTGTGTGGCAACTTAATTAATATTTGTCTCCTCAACCAGACCATAAGCTCATTAGGGAAGAACTGCCCTCTGATTCAATGTGGTGTCTCTGCCCTGCCTGCTAACTCACCGACTCAGTGAGTGCTCAGCAGCTATTTATTGAATGAATATATGAATAGGCACCTTTCTAACATGTGACTTTGTTCCTATTACTTGTGGATTCCCTTCCTCTCCTCAGTGGATCACTTACGGGAGGGAAGATCAGTTCACACCCCCTTTGTTAAATTACCCTAAGTATTCTCAAAAGTTTTCATAGGTCAAACGAACCAACTTCTCAAATTCAAGACAAGACTCTATTTTTTAGAGATGTTGCCCAAGCTGGAGTGCACAGGCTATTCACAGGCATGATCAGAACACACTACAGCCTTGAACTCCTGGCCTCAAGTGATCCTTCCACTTCAACCTCATCAGTAGCTGGGACTACAGATGTGCCACTGCACCCAGCCAAAACCTCTTGTTTGCATTACCAGTATTCCAGAAGTT